CTTGCTTAACAGTAGTAGTAGTAATAGTAGTAGTAGTAATAGTAGTAGTAATAGTAGTAGTAGTAATAGTAGTAGTAGTAATAGTAGTAGTAGTAATAGTAGTAGTAGTAGTAGTAATAGTAGTAGTAGTAATAGTAGTAGTAATAGTAGTAGTATTAGTAGTAATAGTAGTAGTAGTAATAGTAGTAGTAGTAATAGTAGTAGTAGTAGTAATAGTAGTAGTAGTAGTAGTAATAGTAGTAGTAATAGTAGTAGTAGTAATAGTAGTAGTAATAGTAGTAGTAATAGTAGTAATAGTAGTAGTAATAGTAGTAGTAATAGTAGTAGTAATAGTAGTAGTAATAGTAGTAGTAATAGTAGTAGTAGTAGTAATAGTAGTATTATTATAATCAAAAAGAAGCGCTAAGCCACAAGGGCTATACAGCGCTGCAGTAATAGTAGTAGTAGTAATAGTAGTAGCAGTAGTAGTAGTAATAATAATAATAATAATAATAATAATAATAATAATAATAATAATAATAATAATAATAATAATAATAATAATAATAATAATAATAGTTAACCCAGGCACAATGATTACTAATGTAAATATTGCAGCTAATGTTAATGGCTAAGAAATAAATTTTTTATTTTTTATTTTTGATGATGGCATAGCCGAAGTAGCCTTACCCGTAGTGAATGTCAATATTCGGGATGCAGGACATAAATCAAAAAATGTAACTGCATTGCTGGATCAAGGTTCACAAAGTATATTCATAAAGCATACTTGCCTTAATGGTATGGAAGTCCAAAAGGGTGATCCTACAAATTTAAAATTGCCTGAGTTTTTGTCAGACAAAAGAGCCCAGTTGTACAACACTGTGCATGTAAATGTTGGCCTGGGCTGTGAGAGGAAGAAAATCAATGCAGTTATAACAGATAAACTCTCACAAAACGTCTACAATTGGCCTGAGTGAAGCTACTGAAAGGCTTTCAGAAAATGGTCATGTAATGTATGGTAGGCTTCAGGAGGTCATGTAATGTATGGTAGGCTTCCTCGTACTAATAATAAATTACTAGAGGAAACAATACAGTCACTGTGTGTCTTACTCATGAAAGAGTGCCCAAGTATAAATGTTCTTCCCTGATTGTTTTTATAGTGCGCACACTGACCACGCAGACTCATTCTCTCACATGTAGGTCTACCAGCTTTCACTCACTAGAATTGAAGCCACTAGAATTTAGGCATATTAATACGGCACCAACACTGGCTTGTAAGCCGTACCCTCCTGCTTCGCCTCACCTGACTACAGTATATAAGCCACTGCTACGACCCTGTGCTGTACTTTCTACAAGATTGATGGACTGAACACATTGACTCCAGGCTGGGGGACTGATTACCTCAAACTCCTCCTCTCCTTATACCTTCCTGCTTTGTATAAGACTGATGAAGCCACTGTGTGGCAAAACGTTTCTTCAACAAAGATTTCCATATGTTGCATAAGTGTCTCAATTCTTCAAGCCATACCAATATGACACCAACAGTGAAAGGGTTAAAAGCATGGAAAAGGAGTGTGGTTTAACACTTCTTGTGCAGTTACTTCCAGACATAATCACATTTTCTCTGGTAGTGATTGACGAGAAAGAACATAACATTATAATCATCGATGTAACTCCTCTATATGCAGTGACTACCTCACCTCACTATTATGTCTATTTATTTGAGTATGATTGTCTGTATTATGCTGTATTATGCATTTTGTTTATAATTATGAAGAACCTGTGATAACTGGATTAAAAAAGTTGTCAAAAGTAAGGTGAACATACAACATTTTATAGTGCCCACAGCAGCATACTTATGTCATGGCATCTCCAGCACTACTAATGGCAGATATTAGGTTTGAAAGAAAGCAGGATCCAGCACTACTGTTGGCAGGTATTATTATTATTATTATAATCAAGGGGGAAGCGCTAAACCCGGAGGATTATACAGCGCCTGGGGGGGATGTGGAAGGCATTCAGGCTTAATTCAGGGAACTGGAGCACAGATCCAATTCCCTAAATCAAGAGCCCCTCACCAACATCAAGGAACCTTCCTTGAGGGTAGCAGGTATTAGGTATTAGGGTTGAAAGAAAGCAAGATCCAGCACTACTGAGACTTCCTCTTAGGTTTTCCCTTTTCTGGGATAAGCTCCTCCCACTTTGCAATGATGCCAGATGTTGTTCTCAATAACTTCGCAAAAGAAAATTAAGAAGAATCTAAAAAGTCGGAAAAAATTAGCGAAAATTCACTACACGTGCAGGGATATACTACCTATGCAGTTGTCAAAAAAATGTTTTTAAGACCATAATTTGTTGTAGAAACATTGCACAAACATTAGACTTACACCAAAATGTTTCCAGACAGCTGAATTATTTTTCTGTAACCTTTTATAATTTTTTCATAATTTTTTGTACTCCACCTGCACAGAAGGGTAACATCCCATAATTGATAAATTATGCACAATACGGCATTACCAACATTAAATAACAATAAAATACATTGTACATTATTATACAGTGGACCCCCGCATAACGATTACCTCCGAATGTGACCAATTATGTAAGTGTATTTATGTAAGTGCGTTTGTACGTGTATGTTTGGGGGTCTGAAATGGACTAATCTAATTCACAATATTTCTTATGGGAACAAATTCGGTCAGTACTGGCACCTGAACATACTTCTGGAGTGAAAAAATATCGTTAACCGGGGGTCCACTGTACTTGTGTTCTTTTTCTCTCAAATGAACAGGATTCTGACCTTTTAGCTTAACCTTCAGGGGATGATTCATTTCTTTACCGTATTGTGGGTACTCACTGGTGTCTCTGTTTTTCATTAATTTTTGGAATTTTTCATTTAATAGTTTTGGGCTGCCGTAAACAACAGATAAGTGAAACTACAACTGTAGATATGGGGGAAACTACTGTATAATGGTCACTATGCTTGACAAACACAAAGTTTGTGGCCATCCTGGGAAAACCAAGGTCCACTCAGCATGACCACAAAAATAATTTACAAAGGAACTACCATTAGAGGGACTGCCTTGAAAAATACTGTTTTAAAGATGAAATGTTGTCTCAATATAAGTTCTGATCTGTAGTGATATGTTTCAGATGCATATAATTTTTAACACATCAACTATTTCCTGCCCTCCAAAAAGGAAGAAACACTTCACCATCACTGTTGTCCCGGTGCCCAGCCTTCCTTCGGACTGCAGGCACTGTACCTCCCACCTCCAAGACTCAAGTCCAGCTTGCTGCATATATCTTCTTTCTTTCAACACACCGGCAGTATCCCACCGAGGCAGGGTGGCCCAAAAGGAAAAATGAAAGTTACTCCTTTTACATTTAGTAATATATACAGGAGAAGAGGTTACTAGCCCCTTGCTCCCAACATTTTAGTTGCCACTTATGACATGCATAGCTTACAGAGGAAGAATTCTGTTCCACTTTCCCAAGGAGATTTTCAGTTTGTATCTTGACTATTATTTAACATTCCTGTTACGACCTTTTACTAAACTGATAAAAACTCCCTATCTGTGGTTTTTAGTGTACTGCATATATACTATAGGTATTAATTTAGTACAAACATGGGAGAAGCTGATATATTAGGCACATGTGCAACACTTGGGTATCTTTAACCCTTTGATTGTTTCAGTCGTATATATATGACTTACGAGCCACCGTATTTGACGTATATACACTCATAAATTCTAGCGGCTTCAAATCAAGCAGGAGAAAGCTGGTAGGCCCACATGTGAGAGAATGGGTCTGTGTGGTCAGTGTGCACCATATAAAAAAAATCCTGCAGCACACAGTGCATAATGAGAAAAAAACTCACTGTTTTTTTAATTAAAATGCTGAAATTGTGGCCTATTTTCGTATAGTATTATGGTTGTATTCTCATTTTCTTGGTCTCATTTGATAGAATGAAAACATATTATAGAATTAGACTGATTGTAATTGGTTTTACTATGAAAAAAACCTTGAAATGGAGCTCAAAGTAGGGGAAATGTTTGGTTTTTGCCAATGTTCAAAAGTAAACAAATGATGTCATTTTCCAATAAATGTCCAAGTAGCCATTCTAATATGCAGTCATGAATGGGCTGACATTATTGATACAATTATTACAATATTGCAGTAGTCTGCATAACAGTAAATCTTCTATTTTTTGTTTGAATAAAAATTCAAAATAGAAAGCAAGAGTAATATCAGAGGGGCCTGGAGTTGTGCTAATGAACAAAAAAAAAATGTTATTTTAGAGCCAGGAATGTCTGCATTGTTCATTCTGGACCCTATTTTAAAATTGTCATATTTTTTAAATTTTGTGAAATTGGCCAAATTGCAAATTTCTGACCACGTTATTGGGTAGTTGAAATCGGTAAATGGGTAGTTTCTTGTACTCAATTGATAGAAAAAAATGGAGTTCTAAAGAAACAGCTATGAGTCTGGTCAACTGGAAAAATGGAATTAGCCAAAAATAGGTCTCAAAGCAGGCGAAATTGCCGATTCGTAAATATCGCCGAGGTTGCTAACTTCGCGGGAGCGCAATTCCGTCAGTTTTCCATCAAACTTCGTTCTTTTGGTGTCATTACAATCGGGAAAAGATTCTCTATCATTTCATAAGAAAAAAATAATTTTTTTGGGGGGTGGGAGGGGTATTTGCAACACCAGGAGACACCTCAGGATTTGGGGTTGCGACAGTCAAGGGGTTAAAAGAGGGGTTTGGGATATTGGCAGTTTGGAGGGATATGTTATATATCTTTATATGTGCTTCTAAACTGTTGTATCTGGGCACCTCTGCAATGACTGATTATGTATGAGTGAGGTGAAAGTGTTAAATGATGATGAAATTATTTTCTTTTTGTGGATTTTCTTTCTTTTTGGGTCACCCTGCCTTGGTGGGAGACAGCCGACTTGTTGAAAAAAAAAAAAATTAAATGTGGTGTTGCTTAAAATTTTGTGGCAAATGAATACAAATGTGATTTTTTTTTTAGTTTAGTAAATCTTTTCAGCTAACTTCTACAAGAACTGCTTCAGCAGATCTGGCTCTTGAACCTCCTTCAAGAGCTTGAAGTACATCACTGTTACACACAGCTGATGTGGCTGTTAATTGCTCAATACTGGTTGTTGCTTGAGGTCTTTCTTGATTTGATGCAGTGAAGAACATTTCAAGAGCACCCATTAGGGAGATGTGTTCACGACTCAGGCGCACTTCTGCTTCAATCTGAAAAAGATGATTTAAAGTTGTAATTCCAAAATAACTACTAATTCAAAATAAACCTCTCCTTATTACAAATAAAATTTTTATTACATTACCTATATTCCCTTTGGGATTCCCTTCTAAATACAGGCAGGCTTCGCTTTACGGTGTTTTGCTAATGCAGTGATTTTCAATTATATCCATTCTTCATTGATTCAGACTTCCTACAATAAATATATTCACCACTTACTAAAAGCTAAGGACAAAAATATTTTAAGTAATGTGTGTACTATACATGCATTTTTTAGTGTAAACATGTTATCAGGCTTTTATATGCATTTGAAAGTAAAAAAGAAAGGTTGTTTCACTTTACAGCGATTTTCACTTTACAGCAATTTTCGCTTTACAGCAGTAGCCCGGAGCAAAACCTGCTATACAAGCAGGGCCCACCTGTGCATTATCATGAGAAAAAAAGTCAGCCATATCTAAGAATATGTTTCTGGCCTGATTCCATTCACCTTAAGTCCTCTGTGTCATCAACTGTACTACTCCCTCACTTTTTTCTTTTAGGATGTTTGTTGTCTTCTAAGCAATTCTATGATAAATCATTCAATGTCAAACTATCATATGGGGAGTAGTTAAAATTGCTTTACATTTTTCCAAGGTTACTGACCAATTTTGCTGAGAATTTTCTACTTTATAACATTAATAGGTTACAAAAAGACCTCACATAATACAAAGGTTACGTTGTGAGTTGTCTGTTTAGGCTATATCAGCTGATGTCTGTAGGTTGGCCATCTGTTGAGGTTATTAGAAGTACATCATATGCTGTATTGAGCCAATCAGCAACCAACTTTCCCCAGGCCATATAAATCTTTAAACAGAAAAGTTTTCATGCCTGAGTCACCTTTTTAAAACTTTTACTGCATGCAAACTCAGGCAAAAAAGCACTAATAATTTTTTGAATATAAATAGGAAGAGCATTCTATTGAAAGCATCCTATATTGGTGTGAACTATGAGAGGTCTTACTGTACCTTAAATATTAAACTTTTTTCTGATCAGAATAATAATTTTGAAGTTTTTTTAATTTACACAAAATTATTTCATGTCATAATTGTGTGCACTTTGGACATAAAGCTAACATTTAGTATTTTGAATAAAAATTTCTTCATATACAACAAAATTTTCAACTACAATGCATACTGGTTACAAGAGTCAAATTTTAAATATATAACAGAAAAAAATTTTGAAAAAAGCCCAATCAAAATAAGTGCCCCTGAAAAACCCAAAAACCTCACAAGCAAGGAAGCTTGCCCTTTCAATTAATTATTTTTATTTTTTTCATGAACCTGTTTTAAACTTCCTGCCCTTTTGAATTTTTTCCCCTTTAACCTGTTCCTTTTTTTTAATATTGTATCTGAAGCCCTTCAGTAAAACAGGTGTTACAGAACAGTACCTTTTTAAGGGTTTGATTTTGTTTTCCAAGGTGGGTTTCACTGAAAATTGTCCCTGCCCCTACAGGCAGAAAAAAATAAAGAAAAATTTAAAAAAGGGGAGGTGCGAGGTACGTGCCTGCATTTAAATTTGCGTTTAGAGGGAAAAATTGAACGTCATATCTGTGGGCCTCTGGTAAGTGAATTGTAAAAGGATGGGAAAGTGTTTCTTTTTCAGGTTCCACTCTGCCTCGGGGGGAAAAACGACCAGCGTTTTTTAAAAAAAAAAAATGAAAAAGCCCAGCTTTTTTGGGGGAAATTAAAATTGTTTTTTTCCCTTTTTTTAAAACCCATTAAAAAATTTCTACTTTATCTGAAAAATTTTTTAACCCAAATTTAAAAAATCATTTAAACCCTTAACTTAAAAAAATTATTACCCTTTTATATCAAAGTAATTGCGGGGGAATATATTTTTATTTGCATTTTATGGGGTATAGGTTGGTAGAAGAAACCCACCCGGGAGGTACTACCGTCCTGCCAATAAAATGTAAAACGAAGCCTTTTGATTTTTTACATGAGGGTAGGATTCTGATGTTTTTTGTCTTTCTCATAAATATGAAAATTTTACAGGCATGCCCTTGCAATTCTACTTACATTTAAAGGGTCACACTACACATAATGTACACTTTATTTTAAAACACTCATCTGAGTTTTCTTTGATTTTACCCTTAATATTTTCTTGGTCTTTTTAAAATTTTCCCTTTTTATATCCATTGGGAAGGGGAATAAGAATTTTCCCCCGGGTAAGCCTGCGGTTGAAAAAAGTAAACAAAAAAACCCCGGGGGGGGAACAGGGGCTAGCCCCCCTTTTTTCCTGAAAAAAGTTTTACAAAAAAAATAAAAAAGAAAAAGGGAAAATTGTCAAAGGGGGAAAAAGTCAATTTCCCGTGGATGTTGGCAGATGAAAAGAAAAAAGATGATTGTGGATTTTAAATGAATGAAAAAGAAGCTGGATGCCCCTGGTTTTTAAGTGAACAAAGTTTGAAGGGGGTGGGAGATTTTTCAGGGGGAGGGGAAAATAAATGGGATTAGGCCCAGGGGTTTCAAATAATTTTAGAGAACCAAAAAAAAAAAAGTAGAAATTTAAATTTTAAAGGGAAATTAACCCAGGGCAGGAAAAGAGGGACAAAAAAGGTTTTTAAATTTCAAGGATTATGTGGAGTAAAAATAAAGTTTGGGATGTGAAAAAGGGGTTTTTAATAAGCGGGGTATGCACCCTTGGAAAGAGAGAAGTTTTAGAGGAGAGAGAGGGGTTTTGGGGGAAAGTTGAGTAAAAATCCCGGGGGGATTTTGAATCAAGTGTGAGAGAAAAGGTGGTTGGGGATTTCAATGCTAAAGTGGGTTTAAAAAATGTTAGGGGAAAGAGTAGAGGGTTAAAATTTGGGGGTTTTGGCCAGGGGTAAATGAAAAGGGGGCCCCCCTTTTTAATTTTGAGCTATGTGGGAAAAAAATTTTTGGTAAAAAAGTAATACATTTTTTTAATGAAAAAGGGGATAAATAAATATAAAAGGGGTATGATGAAAAGCACGAAAATAAAAAGTGTTTATTAGATTTTTGTATTGGGGGAAATAAAAGGTTGATGGGTAGGCCCCAGGATGTAATTTTTAAATAGGGGGGGAAAAACTGATAATGGGATCATTTTTTATTTTGTAGCTACATTTTGGAGTAAGGGGTAGATGGGAAAAGAAAAAGGGTGGCAAAAAACAAGTAAGAGGGGGTGAAATTTGTATAAACAAAAGGGGAGAGGGAAGTTCGGGTGAGATATAAGAAAACTTTTGGGCCCCAGAAAAGGTGGGTAGTCCCAAAGATGAGTCGGGGGGGGGGGGGTTTGAAGGGGGTTTGGGTTTATTTTTAAAAATGCAGTATTGAATGGGGGGCAGAAGTTTTTTTTTTGGGGGGTTTGGGGGGGAGGGGGGGAAAGGGGAAAGTGATTGGGGGGAATGATGAAGTAAAGGGGGTAAAAAGAAGAAAAAAAGGGGTTAGCTTTTTGAGGGGTTTTTTTTTACAAACAAAAGTGTTATAAAAAGGGAGCAGAGTTTAGGGAGAGTAAAAAAAAGGGTAAAGAAGTGGTGAAAAGGGGGGTGTAAAAGGGGAGAGCAGATGATAGAGGGGGAGAGGCACTTTTAAAGAAATTTTAATAAAAATAAAAAAATTTTGGAGTAAGTTAAACAAGTTAAAAAAGCCTAGGAAAAATTTAGGGATTTGTCAGTTAAAAACAGATTTGGGGGAGTTAGTAAGGGGGAAAGATGGAGGTTTTGGGGTAGATGGGAAATTTTTTTGGGGAATTTTTTAAAATTTTAAAGGGAAAAGAAACAGAGGCAGTAATTTAAATTGCATGGCCGGGGAGGATACCATCTTTTAGGAGTGAAGAAGAGCAGAATGAAATGTGGGGGGGAAATTTGAGGTTTTTATTTAAAATAAAAGGGGGGTTAAAGCCCCAAAAACGAGGGGATCATGACAAAAAATTTAAAAGCGGGAGGGGATAAAGTTTTGGGAGTGGTTGGTACTTTTGTTTAATAAAATGTATAAAAGGGGGGAAAGGGTCCTGGGGATTGGCAGAGAGCAAGGCTTTAAGTCCCTTTAAAAAAAGGGAAAGGGGGAAAAAAAGAGACTTTTAAAAATTTTAGAGGAATAAGCTTATGGGGTATCCCGGGAAAAAAAGTGAAAGGGTTTAGGGTTAAAATTTGGGAAAGAATTAGAGGTAAGAAAGAATGGGGATTGGGAAATAAAGCAAGGGGGGTTTTAGAGTGGGTAGGGGATGTGTAGTTAAAGGTGTTTAATTGAAGCATATAAGGGGAAAAAGTATTTAGATAAAGATGGGAAGTTTTTATTGCATTTAGGGTTTAGAAAAAGGGATATGATTTGAGTGGATAGGGAGCAAAAGGGCAGATGTTGCAAGTATATGGAATAGGGGGTAAGTTATTAAAAGTTAAAAGTTTTTATGAGGAAAAGTGAGGCTCAGGTTTAGGGGGTGTTGAAAAAAGAGGGAGACTACTTCCCCCGGAAAAAAAAGGTTTTTAGACAGGGATGTGTAAGTTCCCCCATGGGGTTTTTAAAATATTTATAGATGGGGTTTTTTAAAGGGGAAGGGAAATGCTAGGGTGTTTGGGAGAGGGGGGATTAAAAATTTTGGGGGAAAAAAACAAATTTTAAAAGGGGGAAATTTACACAGTTTTCTTTTTTTCTTAAGTACTGTTTCTTAGGGAGATTCCTAAAGAAAAATTGCAAAGGTTAGTGGATGAGTTTGGGAATTTAGTTTGTAGAAAAAAAAGGTTTTTTTTAAAATGAAACCCTAGAAAAAGGGAAGGTGATTTAGGGTGTCCAAAAAGATTTAGATAAAAAAAATTGGGTATTTAAAATTTGGGGGGAGGAGTAGGAAAAAAGTGAATGTTTTTAGAACTTTGGGGGTTGACGTGTCGGCGGGGTGGGGTTTTTTGAAAGGGTTAGGTTAATCTAGAATTGATGAGGGGGGAAAAAAAGGGGAGTGGTGCTTGAGGTATATTGTGGGGTTTAAAAATCTTATCTCTGGAGGCAAAAAAGGGGAAAGTATGAAAGTATAGTAGACCCCAAAACCTTATATGGGTGTGAAGGGTTGGGTGGTAAAAGCAGCAGGAGGGAGACGGTTGGAGGCAAATGGAGAAGTCCCGTTTTTAAAGGGGAATGTGTGGTGAAATATTAAAGCAGAAAATTTTGGAGTGTGGGGGAAAATTTGGAGAAGGGGGGGAGTTTTAAAAAAAGTATTAGTCAGAGGGGGAGAAGAATTGGGGGGTTTTTGAGGTGGTTTGGGGCATTTTAGAGAGGGAAAGGAAACAAAATAGAATGGGCATGGAAAGATATAAAAAACTATAGGGGAAAGGGGAAAGGGGGGGGGGTAGGGGTCGTCCTCGAAAGGGTTGGAGAATGGGGTTTTAAAGGGGGGTTTTTTTTGGGTAAGGGGCTTGGACTTCCAGGGAAACGTTTCTGACGTGTTAGAAAAGGATTTAATGGGGGACGAAAAGGGGGACTTGGGAAACCTGACGATCTGTTGGAGTGTGAGCAGGGTAATATTTAGTGAAGGGATTCAGGGAAACCGGTTATTTTCATATAGTCGGACTTGAGTCCTGGAAATGGGAAGTACAATGCCTGCACTTTAAAGGAGGGGTTTGGGATATTGGCAGTTTGGAGGGGTATGTTATATATCTTTATATGTGTATGCTTCTAGACTGTTGTATTCTGAGCACCTCTGCAAAAACAGTGATAATGTGCGAGTGTGGTGAAAGTGTTGAATGATGATGAAAGTATTTTCTTTTTGGGGATTTTCTTTCTTTTTCTGGGTCACCCTGCCTCGGTGGGAGACGGCCGACTTGTTGAAAAAAAAAAAAAAAAAAAAAATGCATTTTACTGTACTGGAATAAACTTACCTCATCCTTTAACTGTGTAAAAGGTAGGACTAGCGCTGGAGTTTCATCCAATGTATCACTATAAACATCTGCAAGAAAGCTAAATTCAGAATGCTGCAAAGGGAATAAAGTTGTAAAATATTATAAAAATTATTTTGAGAAGAACGTCTGGAAAAATGAAGACAAGAGGAAACGGCAATAGAATAGCACAAGTTCAGGGGAAAATAAAGACAAAATGAAAAAAAGTATTTAAAGAAAGGGTGAAGGAGGTAGAGTTATTTTATATACTTATTTTAAGGGAAGTGTAGCAAAAGTTAAAACCACATAGGACAAAAAAAGGGGCATGGTTTCTAGGTACATGTAAGAAAATAGGGGCATGGTTTCCAGGCACAGTTTAAGAGTACAATATGGAAGAAACAAGAAAAATGGTTTCCAGTAAAAGTGAGATTGTAACAAGATTAAAAGAGAAGTGAATGCTAATGACTGTCATTTTAAAGGGACAAATCACAATAATTTTTTGGAGATGAGAAACTTGTTTGGAGTTATATTTTGTGTATTATAATCAAGTCTTAATTAAACAGTTTTAATTATATTTATTACTGTATTATAAAAAATGGGCAGTACTATAATTATAATAAAAAATATTTATAATATATAAATGAGCTAAACAAAATGTAAATGCTTGTACAATTAAGACTGTCTAATAGTTTCAAGTTACTGTAATATAAAAGGGACTTCTCAATTTACATTACACATATGAGCATTCGAAAAAAGTGAACCCCATAAGGTATTCCCATTACAGAGAGCCCTAATAAATTCCCTAAATCCCCTCTGCATGATAATTTTCATGCAAAATAAATAATAATAACTCAAAGTACATAAAATATCATTAACAAAAACTTATTTAAAATTTACACAACACAGTAGTTTTAGAGATGAAATTAGTAGCAAGCAATGATTGCAATGTATCCTAAAAATGCAGAAAGCAATGACTAACACAAAATTACACTGACAACTATTAAAAACTTGCATAAATGTAACAACAATACATACCAATAACGATATTTGCCACATCAATAAGAACTAGTTTATATGCAGGGTGCCGAATATACTTTTTCAAGAAGGTCAGTAAAGGTGTTAAACTCTTTACATTTCTACCGGCAACAGCAGTCTTAATTCCTCCACACCTGTTAAGAAAATAGATGTCTATGCTGGTGAACATCAATCAGTATTGACAAATTTATCCAAATGCATTTACAGGGGAGAAAAGTGAAAGTTATATGAAGGCTTTTGCAACGTGCAATGATGCATTTCATAAGTTAAACATCTTCAAGACTGTGTAAAACAGATATGTTTTGGTTGGCACTAAGACTGAGCAAGGGATACCTGATTCTAATGACACCCTATACCAGCACTTCTTACATGAGCAATAAAGTACAGCAATACCTTACATAATACGGTTAATGAGTATCAAAAAAATACAGCCTCTCCTCACTTAACGACAGAGTTCTGTTCCTAAGACCACGTCAGTTAACGAATTTGTAGCTAAGTGAGGAGCATACTATAGTGGTAGTGGATTTGTGTCAACCATCCTTGATATTGTTTTAATGTCACCTTTGCACCATTTATAACATTTCTGGTATATTTTTAAATGTTTATACAGTAGCGTACTGTATATTGTAATAAACAGAATAGAGAAAATCAGCTCCAATATACATTATTTAGGTATGCATACTGGTCAGAGAGCCCATCGTAGGCTGACTCGTCGGTAAACGAGTACATCACTAAGTGAGGAGATGCTGTACTGATATAGCCAAAAATTTTGGTATAAAAAATATTAATTAAGAAGGAAAAATTGTACCTTATTTCCTCAAACACAGCTAGTAAATTATCAAGATGAGAATTTGAAGTTAAACTCACTCAAATACAGTGGACCCCCGGTTAACGATATTTTTTCACTCCAGAAGTATGTTCAGGTGCCAGTACTGACCGAATTTGTTCCCATAAGAAATATTGTGAAGTAGATTAGTCCATTTCAGACCCCCAAACATACACGTACAAACGCACTTACTTAAATACACTTACATAATTGGTCACATTCGGAGGTAATCGTTATGCGGGGGTCCACTGTAATCAAGAAGTAGACCCCAGAGCTGGAGCTCTACTTCATCAAACACAGTTGAGCCTAGAAACTGGAACTCAATTTACTAAACAGCTGAGAAGCAGGTTAACCCTTTGACTGCCGCGGCCGTATATATACGTCTTACGAGGTACCGTGTTTGATATATACATACTCATAAATTGTAGCGGCTTCAAATCAAGCAGGAGAAAGCTGGTAGGCCCACATGTGAGAGAATGGGTCTGTGTGCACCATATAAAAAAAATCCTGCAGCACACAGTGCATAATGAGAAAAAAAAACTCCGACCGTTTTTTTTAATTAAAATGCCGACTTTGTGGTCTATTTTCGTATAGTATTTACGGTTGTATTCTCGTTTTCTTGGTCTCATTTGATAGAATGGAAAACATATTATAGAAATAGAGGTGATTTTGATTGATTTTACTATAAAAAGAACCTAGAAATGGAGCTCAAAGTAGGGGAAATGTTTGATTTTTGCTAATGTTCAAAAGTAAACAAACCATGCCATTGTCCAATAAATGTCCAACTAGCCATTCTAATATGCAGTCATGAATGGGTTGATGTTATTTATACAATTATTACAGTATTGCAGTAGTCTGCATAATAGTAAGTCTTCTATTTTTTGTTTGAATAAAAATTTAAAATAGAAAGCAAGAGTAATATCAGAGGGGCCTGGAGACATGACTGATGAGCAAAGAAAATGCTATTTTAGAGCCAGGAATGTCTGCATTGTTCATTCTGAACCTTATTTTGAAATTGTCATATTTTTTAGTTTTCGTGAAATTGGCCAAATTGCAAATTTCTGACCACATTATTAGGTAGTTGAAATTGGTAAATGGGCAGTTTCTTGTACTCAATCGATAGAAAAAATGGAGTTCTAAAGAAATAGCTATGAATTTGGGTGACTGGAACAATGGAATTAGCCGAAAATAGGGCTCAAAGTGGGTGAAATCGCCGATTTGTAAACAGCGCCGAGGTCGCTAACTTCACGAGAGCATAATTCCGTCAGTTTTCCATGAAATTTCGTTTTTTTGGTGTCATTACAATCGGGAAAAGATTCTCTATCATTTCATAAGAAAAAATAATTTTTTTTTTTTTTAAATTTTGCAACACCAGGAGACACCTCAGGATTGGGGGTTGCGACAGTCAAAGGGTTAAAAAGGCTGAGTTCAATCCCTTCAAATATCTGAATTGGCAGACCCATATGCTGCAGTCCCCCCCCCTCCCCCACCTCAAATATACGAGGTCAGACTAACAAACTAGAGCTTGGTAAGTAGGACTACCAGAATACAAGTATGTACACACAGTGTTGTACTGTAAATATTGTGAGAATGACTATTGTAAGCCATGGATGTATTTTGTGGAGTGGATGACAAATTATGGCAAACTGGTTAAAGTAAAAACAATAAATGAAGATAAGGGACTATAGTAATAGGAAGGAAAGTGCTCGCTCTGACCTAGTAATTTTAAAAGTTACATATATAAATATGTTTGTTTGGCAATAGCACAAGCTTTATTTGAAACCAAATGGAGCAACTATAAAAATGCATGTAACTGAGTCTCATTCAAATTCCTTTGATATTTTGAAAGATTACCACTGTTTTCAATGACTGTGCATGTTGCCTTTTCACCAAGGCAATGTATATTATGACTAAGAGATAAGGCAAATATCAAGAGAAGCTTACCTTATCAGTGCCTGGAACACTGCAACTGAAACATTTGGTGTTTTGTTACAAATGAATTTCTTCATAGCTGCATCCAGTGCAGTGCTGAATTTAAACTTGCGTAACATTATATCGTATTTTGCCAATTTATCATTTGCTGCATATTGTACAACCTGTTACCAAATTAAATTAAAATATGTCACTTATGGATTCAGAAAAGGCACATGACAGGGTAGAAAGAGGAGTAATGTGGTAGATTTTACAAATGTATGGAATAAGTGGTAGGTTACTATAAGCAGTAAAGTTTTCATGTACATAGTGAGGCTCAGGTGAAGGGATGTAGGAGTGAGGGGGAATTTTTATTCTATAAAAGTAGGGCCTAGACAGGGAAATGTGATGTTGCCATGATTGTTTAACATATTTATAGATGGAGCTGTAAAAGAAGTGAATGCTAGAATGTTGGGGAGAGGTGTGGGATTAAAATATACAGAATCCAATACAAAATGGGATTTGTCACAGTTACTTTTTGCTGATAACACTTCTTTTGGGAGATTCTGATGAGAAGTTTGCAAAGGTTGGTAGAGGAATTTGGGAGGGGATGTAAAACAAGGAAATAAAAAGTGAACATATGAGAGAGAAAGATGAAAGTAACAAAAAAATCTATGCAATAAAAGTCAGACATCAGACTGGAGGGAGAGAGTACATCATCTTTTTTTAAACAATCATTTAATCACTGTCTTGCCAGAAGGGTTCTGATATCACAGTCCAGATGACCCTCCAAATTGCAGCATCCTCACTCCTTCAGAGTGCAGGCACTGTATTTCCCACCTCCAGGATTCAAGCCTAGCTAACCAGTTTCCCTGAATCCCTCCATAAATATTACCTTGCTTACACTCCAGCAGCATATCAAATCATAAAATCCACTTGCCTCCACTTATTCCTATCTAACACGCTCATACAGGCCTGTTGGATGCCAGAGTTTCTAGCACACAAAACCTTTATCTCCTCTCTCCAACCTTTCCTAAGCCAACTCCTAAACCTTTTTCCCTCTACCCCAGATTTACATACCCTCCTAGTCATCTTAATTTCTCTCCTTCCAAACTACCTCAACAACCCCTCCTCAGCCCTCTGAATAATACTTTTGGTAATTTCACACCTCCTCCTAATCTCCAAACTCTGGATTCATTGCATAATATTCACACCCCACATTGCCCTCAAACATGAATCTCTACTGCCTCCAGTCTCCTCCTGGCTACAACATTCAAAACCCACGCTTCACACCCATACAACAGTGTTGGTACTACTATACTCTGGTACATTTCCCTTTTTGCCTCCATGGATAAATTTCGGTGCTACTTTAGAATGCGGTCTACCAGCTCATTTACACTTTAGTGTGCAGTTTGTGGTTAGGTTAGGTAAGAAAAGGTCAGCACAGGTAGAAAAATTATAACATAAAAGGTAGACCGCACGTTAAAAGTCAGCTCACAGCGTAGACTATGAATACTGCAGTAGACTGCATGCTAAAGTAGCACCTAAATTTCTTTAACTCCACAGATGCCTCAATGCACAACCCACCTTATTTCCTTCTGTCAATTCTATGGTTCACCTCATCTCTTACAGAACCATATGCCGACAAGTCAACTCCCAAATACCTGAACACTTTTACTTCCTCAATATGCCCTCCTTCCATTCAGATTTTTGGGAGCAAAATTGTCAGTGATGACGTGTACTTAGCTCTGTGAAGACCTGTTTGTGTGCTCTCTGTGAATCTGAACCAGGATGCCCTCTCTTGAGCAACTTTACCAGCAGCTGAGAGAAGAGCTCAGAGTTGCTAAGCTGAGAGAAGAGCTCAGAGTTGCTAAGCTGGAGATACGGCGATTAACGGAGGAGAACAAGAGGATTCGTAGTAATCCTCCTGTTGTGAGTCCCCAGGTTAAGAGGGAAGCTTGGTCAGTTGCCGGGCAACATGGAACCAAGCTGAAGATCAAGAAAACGGTTGGAGAGGCAGAAACAACGAGAAACCAGAAGACTACCGTGGAAACTTCCAACCCATTCTCGGTGCTACCTGACGAATGTGAGTGTTCTACTGGGAATGCCACAACGGGCACCAAAGAAGCATTGGCAGACGTGAGTGAGACATCCCTAGAAACCCCAACGAAGACCATCAAGAACGTCTTGACGAATTCTACAAGTGGTGTAATGCTACCTGGCGAATGTGAGTCGACTACTCTGAGCATCACGACGGACAACGCCAAGGAAGGTAAAAACATTGTTGTTGTTGTTGGGGATAGCCAGATTAGGTACATGGATAGGGCATTCTGCTTGAAGGATAGGAGTAGGAGGCAGAGAGTGTGTTTTCCTGGGGCTGGAATGAAGGATATTGTTAGCCGTCTGGATGACATCATGAGAGGTAATGGGAGAAATCCTATTATCTGTCTCAGTGCTGGAGGCAACGATGTTGGCAGACGTCGGAGTGAGGACCTGATTAGCAGGTATAGGTCAGCAATAGAGATAATTAGGAGGAAGGGTGGGAAACCTGTCACATGTGGCATTTTGCCAAGGAGAGGAGTTGGAAATGAATGGTTGTCCAGAGCAATTGGTGTCAATTGCTGGCTGGACAAATACTGTAAGGAAAATGCGGTAACATTCATTGACAACTGGGACCTCTTCTATGGCAGAAATGATATGTATGCCAGGGATGGGGTTCACTTATCTAGGTGTGGGGTGGGAGCACTGGCAACTGCAGTGGAGGGAGCTGTTAGGGCTTTAAACTAGGAATAGTTAGTGGTATGGGTTTTGACGGGAAAACACTGAAGTCGCAGTGTAGTAATATGAGTACTAGGAGAACTAGTAATAGGCAAAATGAGGTGGATATTGGAAAGCCAGTGGCACTAATTGACAAGGACAGTAATAGGTTTAGTGGAATAAAAGAAAGGAGCAGGAAGGGTAAAGACAGAGGAGGGTCTTTAAATATATATTACACAAATAGTAGCAGTGCTAGGAATAAGATGGACGAGTTGAGACTAGTTGCTAGTGCAGGTAACATTGATGTATTTGCCTTAACTGAGACGTGGTTTAATTCAAAAAGTCGGGACATGCCTGCGGAATGTCACATTCAGGGTTTTAAATTGTTCCAAGTGATAGAAGTATCGGGAAGGGGGGTGGGGTGGCATTGTATGTCCGAGATCGCTTGAACTGTTGCATAAAAATGGGTATTAAGTCTGAAGTAACACATACAGAGTCTGTTTGGATAGAATTTTCAGAGGGGCATGAAAAATTAATTTTAGGTGTGATATACCGTCCCCCAAACTTAGATAGGGACCAGGGGAGACTACTATGGGAGGAAATTGTTAGGGCCACAAGGCACGATAATGTAGTAATTCTAGGAGACTTTAACTTTAGTCATATTGATTGGAATTTCTTGACTGGGAATTTAGAATCATATGACTTCTTAGAAGTAGTTCAGGATTGTTTTTTGAAGCAGTTTGTGACAAAACCTACAAGGGGTAATAACCTGCTTGACTTAGTTCTGGCAAACAATGAATCCCTTGTTAATAATTTAGAAGTTTCAGAGGAACTGGGTGCTAGCGACCACAAATCAATTAGATTTAGCATTGAATGGAAGTATGATTAGTAGGGATAACTCAGTAACAGTCCCAGATTTTCGCTTAGCAGATTACGATGGGCTTAGAGAACACTTATCATCTGTTGACTGGGGTAACGAAGAGAGCTATCAATATGACAGTTTTCTGAACACTATACATGCTGCTCAAAGAACGTTTATCCCTTATAAAGAAATTAGATCAAATAGGAATGACCCAAAATGGATGAATAATAGGCCGAAATATCTACTAGGGCATAACAAAGGAATTTATAGGTGTATCAAAAGAGGCGAGGGTCATCTTATGAATCAGTATATTGACATTAACCCCTTCAGGGTCCAAGGCCCAAATCTGAAGTGGTGCCCCAGTGTCCAAGAATTTTCAAAAAAAAAATTTGTTATTTTTTCTTATGAAATGGTAGAGAATCTTTTTGTGAAGGTAATAAAACAAAAAGTACGAAATTTGATGGAAAATTGACGAAATTATGCTCTCGCGAATTTTGACGTGTCAGCGATATTTACGAATCGGCGATTTTGCCGACTTTGACTCCCATTTTAGGCCAATTACATTATTCCAGTCAACCAAATTCTTAGCTATTTCACTAGTATTACTTGTATTCTATCGATTGAGCACAAGAAATCTCCAAGTCAATTGTTTCAACTACAAATTAAAGTGATCGGAAATTGTTAATTTGGCCAATTTAACACAAAGTTCAAAATATTCCAATTTCAAATAGGGTCCAGATAAACCAATGTAGGTATTCTGGAACTAAACTAACATTTCTCTGTTCATTAGTTACGTTTTGAAGCTTTACAAATAAATTCCATTTTGATTTTTTATTCACATAATGAATTTTTATTCGCACCAAAAAATAGAAGATTTACTGTTATGCAATACTGTAATAATTGTATAAATATCATCACCATATTTGTGAATGCATATTAGACCCACCAGCTGGCGTGTATTAGACATGTGAGGTCATTTGTTTACTCTTGAATATCGGCAAAAACTTAACATTTCTGCCACTTTGAGCTCAGCTTCAAGCCATTTCCAGTGCGAAAACCAATCAAAATCATCTCTATTTCTGTAATATGTCTTCCATTCTATCAAATGAGACCAAGAAATCGCAAAAAGAACTATAAAAAACATACGAAAAAACACTGCAAAATCGCTGTTTTAATAAAAAAATCATGATTTCAGTTTTTTTCTCTCATTATACACAGCGTGCTGCAGGATCTGTTTTATGTGGTGCACACATACCACATAGATGTATTCTCTCATATCTAGGCCCAAATGTACCACTCACAGTTTATCAGAGTGAGCTGAGCTCATGAAGTAGATCTACGGTTTGGACCCTGAACGTAAAGCCGTAGATCTACGGGACGGACCCTCAAAGGGTTAAGAGGGACATTAAAAAGGGGATAAGAAAAGCTAAAAGGGACTATGAAATTAAAGTTGCTAGGGATTCTAAAACTAACCCAAAAAGTTTTTTCCAGGTATATAGAACAAAAGTCAGAGATAAGATAGGTCCCCTTAAAAATAACTATGGGCATCTTACTGACAAAGAGAATGAAATATGCTCGATTTTAAATAATTATTTTCTCTCGGTTTTTACACAGGAAGACACTAATAATATTCCGGTAATTAATTTTTATAGTGGGCCAGAAGAAGATAAATTATGTAACATCACAGTCACTAGTGAAATGGTTGTGAAGCAGATAGACCGATTGAAGCAAAATAAGTCACCGGGTCCTGATGAGGTTTTTTCAAGGGTTCTTAAGGAATGCAAAATGGAAGTCTGTAAACCATTAACTAATATTTTTAATTTATCTCTTCAAACAGGTGCAGTGTCTGATATGTGGAAGATGGCTAATGTAATTCCTATTTTTAAAACAGGGGACAAGTCGTTACCGTCAAATTGCCGCCCAATAAGCCTGACCTCAATTGTAGGCAAATTACTAGAGTCAATTATAGCTGAGATTATAAGAAGCCATCTCGATAAGCATAGCTTGATTAATGATACTCAGCATGGATTCACAAGAGGCCGGTCTTGTCTAACTAATTTATTAACTTTCTTCAGTAAAGCTTTTGAGGCTGTTGACCACGATAAAGAATTTGATATTATTTACTTAGATTTTAGTAAGGCATTTGATAGAGTTCCGCACCAAAGACTGTTGAAGAAAGTAGCAGCTCATGGCATTGGGGAAGGGTGCTCTCGTGGATCGAATCATGGCTCACAGACAGGAAGCAGAGAGTGTCCATAAATGGGGTTAAATCCGAGTGGGGGATCAGTAACAAGTGGCATTCCACAGGGATCAGTCTTGGGCCCGTTGTTGTTTATAATATATATCAATGATCTTGATGAAGGAATTACTAGTGATATGAGCAAATTCGCCGATGACACGAAGATAGGTAGGATAATTGATTCAAACGTAGATGTTAGGGAACTTCAGGAGGATTTGGACAAACTCTACTTTTGGTCAGAAAAGTGGCAGATGCAGTTCAATGCAGATAAATGCAAGGTTCTGAAGCTCGGGAGTGTCCATAACCCTAGCACTTATAAGTTAAATAATGTAGAACTTAGCCATACAGATTGCGAAAAAGACTTGGGGGTTATGGTAAGCAGCAACCTTAAACCAAGACAGCAATACCTAAGAGTACGTAATAAGGCAAATAGATTACTGGGATTTATATCAAGAAGTGTAAGCAACAGAAGTCCAGAGGTCGTACTGCAGCTTTATACATCATTAGTAAGGCCTCACCTAGATTATGCAGCTCAATTCTGGTCTCCATATTACAGAATGGACATAAATTTATTAGAAAACATTCAGCGTAGGATGACTAAATTAATACATAGCATAAGAAATCTTCCTTATGAAGAAAGATTGAAGACTCTTAAATTACATTCACTTGTTAGACGAAGAATGAGGGGAGACCTGATCGAAGTGTATAAGTGGAAGATATGTATTAATAAAGGGGATATTAATAAGGTCTTGAGGATCTCTCTCCAAGAGAGAACCCGCAGTAATGGATTTAAATTAGATAAGTTTAGATTTAGAAAGGACATAGGAAAGTATTGGTTTGGAAACAGGGTAGTTGATGAGTGGAACAGTCTACCTAGTTGGGTGATTGAGGCTAGGACTTTGGGTTGTTTCAAATTTAGGTTGGATAAGTACATGAGTGGGAGGGGTTGGATTTGAATGGGACTTGCACATCAGAGCTTATTTCTTGGGTAGCATTGAAAATTGGGTTGGGCAAATGTTTTGTTAGTGGGATGAATTGTAAAGGACCTGCCTAGTATGGGCCAACAGGCCTGCTGCAGCTTTCCTCCTTTCTTATGTTCTTATGTAAAAGATGAGGTGAACCACAGAATTCATTAGGGGGAAAAGGTGGGTAGCGCATAAAGGCATCTGTGGAAACAAAGAACTTCATCCATGGTGGCAAATTCGAGTGTACCATAGTATAGTGGTAACAACACTGTTATAGGGGTGCGATAAATGGGTTTTAAATGTTGCAGCAATGAGGAAGCTGGAGGCAGTGGAAATATCATGTCTGAGGGCAATATGAGGTGTGAATATTATGCAGGGAATTTGAAACTTTGAGATTAAAAGGTGTGGGGTTACCCAAAGTATTATTCAAAGGGCTGAGGAGGGGTTGTTGAGGTGGTCTGGACATTTAGAGAAAATGGAGTGAAATAGGATGACTATGATGGGTGTATAAATTTGGAATGGAGAGGAAGGAGATCATCCCAGGATAGGTTGGAGGGAGGGCACGAAGGAAATTTTTAAGTATGGAGGGTTTGGACATCCAACAGGCTTGTATGAGTGCATTAGAGAGTGATGAGTGAGGGCCAATGATTTTTATGCCATGATGTGTTGTCTGAATGTTAGCAAGGTAACATTCAGAAAAGGATTCAGAGAAAACTGATTAGTCAGACTTGAGTCCTGGAGGTGGTAAGTACAATGCCTGCACTCTGAAGGAGGGGTGAGGATGTTGTGGTTCAGAGTGCGATGTGAACTGTGATGTCAGCAGGCTTCTGGTAAGACAGTGATTGAATAAATGAGGGTGAAAGCATTTCCTCTTTTTGGTTCACCCTACCTCAGTGGGAGGCAAGGTAGGGTGAGGAAAAGTGCAGATATTTTTAGACCTCACTTTTCATAACATTGGAATATATAATACTGTAAATAAATCAAATATGAAGATTGTGATAACAATTGTAGCTAGCAGACAAGCAGGTCTTATTGCCGACAGCAACTCTACTTGGGCTAAGTAACCTGAGCTGTCAATTCCGGATCTTTGTCTTAAAAGTTTGGTAATGATGTCATACACACAATGATTTTATTATCAGGAGTTCAGGCATCTCCTATGTGAACCGGACTGGGAAAACACATTTGTCAGATAACATTTTACCCATTACAGGCATCTTATTTATCATATTTAATATAGAGAACACTTATAAAAAGAATGCAAATTCACACTTTACAGATGCAATCAGGTAACTGGGAGTAATATGAGTCAATGGCTGACAATTTATAAAGCAGTGAAAGAAAAAATGTATCAGCAATAAACAAATACATTCAAGAATTTCCTTATCTTACATGATCCTCAGGCATTATTCTAAGATCTTCAGACAGTGTGCTCCTAATATTTGCAGCTTTTTCCTTGGATGAGAGAGAGTCAGTAGTAGTGTCTGGGTTGCGGCGGTGCTGGAAAGACATGAGCCCAGACCCTGAAGAAATCATTCCAACCACTAGTGTAGAATCTCCAGGCTGTAATGTAATGCAGACAATATAAAACTGTAATAAAAATTAGTTTATAAATCCATGGCATTAGTGTATTTGAGAGCAGCACCAAAGTACATCTTATATAATACAAATTTATTTAAAAGATTTATAAGAAATATTAGGAACACAGTTCCAATATTAATACCCTATGATGAGAAAATGTACCATTTTTTTTTTCAACAAACCGGCTGCATCCCACCAAGGCAGGGTGGCCCAAAAAGAAAAACGAAAGTTTTCCTTTTTAAATTTAGTAATTTGTACTGGAGAAGGGGTTACTAGCCCCTTGCTCCCGGCATTTTAGTCGTTTTTCCTTCAAAGCATGGCCCAGAGGAAAAAATTCTTTTCCCCACTTTTCCCCAGGGAAGGAAATGGGGAAAAATTTTAAAAAAAGAAAAAAAAAGGGAAACCCAGGAAAAAAAATTAAAAAAAAAACCCCAAAAGGGGGTTAATTTATAAAATCAAATTTATTTTAGTGTATAAGTTATTAGGAAACCGTTTACTTTAAATTTCCCTTTTATGAGAAAAGCCCAGCAAAAAGGCCACCCCCCAAAATCCAAATAGAAAACCCAATTTTTCCTTTTTTTTAAATTTTTTATTAAGGGGGGACAGTTGCCTCCCGGGTTTTGTGTTTTCCCAACCCCCTTTTTCTTCCTAAAACGGGTTTTTTCCCCATGGAGGAAGGGGGAAAAAAAAAAACAAAAAAAAAAATTTTTAAAGAAAAACCCGGGAGGGGGTTTGGGTTTGACCCGGCATTTTATTTGGCCTTTTAAAATGAAGGGTTAGGAGAAGTTTCTTTTTACTTTAATTTAAAAATTTTTAAATAAAAAAGGAAAAAAAACCACCACACAACACAACAGAAAAAAAAGGGAAACCAAGGAAGAGAGGGTGGTTGTGTTAAATATCCAAATTTTTTTAAAAATTTTGGTTTGAGGAGGGTGGAAAAAAAAAAAAGGTTTTTTTTAAATTAGAAAAGGAAAAGGGGTATTTAGTTGAAAAAAAGGGGGTGTTTAAAAGAGGGGAAGGAGGAATAATTTTTAAATTATGGAGAAAAAAAATTAAAAAGAAAGGAAGAAAAAAAAACAAAAAAAGGGGAGAGAGGAGAGAGGGGGAGAGAGAGAGGGGAAAAGAGAGTGAGAGGAAAAGGGAGAGGGAGGAGAGGAGGAGGAGAGAGGAGTGGGGGAGGAGGAGAGGAGAGGGGGGAAAGAGAGAGGGAGGGGAAGAGGGAGAGGAAGGAGGAGGGGGTGGGGAGAGAGAGGGGGAGGGAAAGAGAAGAGGGGGGGGGAGAGGGGGTGGAGGGGAGAGGAAAAAGGAGGAGAGAGGAAGAGTGGGAGGAGGAGGAGGAGAGAGGAGAGAGGGGAGGGAGAGAGAGAGAGGAGAAGAGAGGAGAGAGGGAGTGAGAGGAGAGAGAGGGGGGAGGAGAGAGGAAAAATAGAGAGAGAGGGGGAGAAAAGAGAGAGGGGGAAAAGAGAGGGGGAGAGGGAGAGGGGAGTAGAGAGGAGGAGAAGAGAGAGAGGGGAGGAGGAGAGAGGGGAGAAAAGGAGAGAGAGGAGGGGAGGGGAGGGAGGAGTGGGGTGGGGAGGGAGAGAGAGAGAGGGAGGGGAAAAGAGAGAGGAGAGAGGGAGAGGGGGAGAGAGAAGAGAGGGGGGAGGAAAGAGGGGGAGGGGGAGAGAGGGGGGAGAAAGAGGAGAGGAGAGGGGGGGAAAGAGGAGAAAGGGGAGAGTGAGAGAGGGGAAAGAGGGGGGTGGGGAGAGGAGGGGAGGGGGGGAGAGAGGGGGGAGGGGAAAGGGGAGGGGGGAGGGGGGGGGAGAGAAGGGGAGTGTGGAGAGAGAGAGGGTAAAGGGGGAGAGAGGGGGGAGGAGGGGTTGGAGGTGGAGAGAGAGAGGGTGAAGGGAGGGGGGAGGGGGAAAAGGAGGGGGAAAGAGGAGAGAGAGAAGGAGGGAGAGAGGGAGAGAGGAGGAAGAGAGAGGGAGGAGAGGAGAGAGAAAAAGGAAGGAGAGGAGGGGGAGAGAGGGAGAGAGAGAGAGGAGGAGAGAGAGAGGAGGAGAGGGGAGAGAGAGGAGGGAGAGAGAGAGAGGGAGGAAAGGGAGGGGAGGAGAGAGAGGGGGGATGAGAGGGGGTGAGGGGGAGGAGGAGGAGAGGGGAGAGGAGAGGGGGGGGAGAGGGGGAGGAGAGAGGTGGGGGGGAGGGAGGGGGGAGGAGAAAAGAGGGAGGGGTGAGGAGGGGAGGGAGAGAGGGAGGGTGAAAGAAAAGAGGAGGAGGAGAGGGGGGGGTTGAGAGAGGGGAGAGAGAGGAGGGAGAGGAGAGAAGTGAGAAGAGGAGGGAGGGGGAGAGAGAGGAGAGAGAGGAGGGGGAGAGAGAGAAGGGGGGAGGAGGGGAGGAGAGAGGGGAGGGAAGGAGGAGAGAGGGAGAGAGAAAAGGAAAGAGGGGGAGAGAGAGAGAGGAGGGGGGAGAGGGGAAGAGGAAAAAAGGGGGAAAAGAGGGGAAGAGAGAGAGGAGGGAGAGAGGGGAGAGAGGAGAGGAGAGAGAGGGGAGGAGAGGGGATAGAGGGGAGAGGAGGGAGAGAGAGGAGAGGAGAGGGGAGTATATATCTATATTTTATATATATTTTATTATATAAAATATTATATATATATATATATAAAATTTTTTTTTTTTTTTTTTTTTTTTTTTTTTCAACAATTTGGGTTTAAACTCCCCCCGGGGGCAGGGTAAACCAAAAAAGAAAAAAAACCCCCCCCCAAAAAAGGGAAAATCTTTATATCATTCAAAACTTTAAACCCACTCAAAATTACCCTTGCTTTTGCAGAGGTGCAAAATTTAAAAAACCTTTTTTAAAAGCTATACGTATAAAGAAACAAATATCCCCCCAAAAACTGCCAATACCCCAAAACCCCCCCTTTTAAAAGTGCAGGCAGGGTATTTCCCCTTTTCCCCGGACTAAAGGGTCCGACTATATGAAAAAAACCCGGTTTCCCCCCTGAATCCCTTAAAAAAAATTTTTTACCCTGCCACACTCCCCCGATCGTCAGGTCCAAGTTTTCTTTGTCCCATTCCCTCCTTCTAACCGCTAAATGCCGCTTGTTGGAAGTCCAAGCCCTCGCCCAAAAAAACCCCCTTTCCCCCCTTTTCCAACCCTTTCGAGGGCCCCTACCCTCTTTCCCTTTCCCCTATGTTTTATATGTTTTTCCATGTCATTTTACTTTGATCCATTCTCTCTAATGACCAAACCACCCCAAAAAACCCCCCTTCTGCCCTCTGACTAATTTCTTTTATTAAAATCCAACCCTTTTCCTAAATTTCCCCATCCGAATTTTTTTTGATAAAATTTACACCACACATTGCCCTTTGAAGGGGCATCTCCACTGCCCCCAACCGTTTTCCTCGCTGCTGATTTTTCCCCCCCAAGCTTCACATCCTATAAGGTGTTTTGGGCTTTCTATTTTTCTTTAAAACATTCCCTTCTTTGCCCCCACAGAAAACGTTTTTTGACTCCACATATACCCCAACGCACCACTCCCTTTTTTTTCCCCCATCAAAAATTTTATGATTAAACCCCTTCCCTTTATAAATCCATCCGCCGACACGTCAATCCCCAAATATCTGAAAAAATTCACTTCTTCCCTTTCTCCTCCCCCCCAATTTGATAAACCAAATTTTTTTTTATCTTTAAAACATTTGTTTTTCCCCATCACCCTTTTCTTTTCTATTTTTTTAAATTTCAACCCTTTTTACCTTTACCACACACACAACACCACACACACCACACACCCCACACAACACACAACACACACACCCACAAACACACACACACATAACCCTCATTTTTATATTTAAAATTTTTATATATATATTAATATTTTTTAATTTATATATATATGCATGCATATTTTTTTGGGATAAAAGGGAAAAGGGGGAAAAGAGAGTGCAAAAATTTAGGGGGTGTCTGTTTAGTGACCTGGTAAAGTGTATGGTTGAGTTTAATTGAAAGAATTTTAAAAGTTAAAACGGAGAATAGGATAGCAGATGAACAAGGAGGCCCTTTTGGAAAGGTAGGGGGTGTGTGGACAGGGGTTTTACAGTTTAACATTTAAGTGAAAAAGTATTTAGATAAGGCACAAAAAAGGGGGCTTTGTGGGATTTATGGATTTGGGGGAAAAAGGGGGTATGACAGGGGGGATAGGGGGGCAATGTGGCAGAGGGTTTCAAGTGTTTTGGTGTAGGAGGTGGTTTACTGAAAAACAGTGAAAGTTTTTACGAGGATAGTGAGGCTCAAGTTTGAGTATGGGGAAAGAGGGGAAATTTTTTTCCCCGTTTAAAAGGGAGGCCCTTTGAAAAAGGATGCGTGATGTCACCGTGGGGTTTTTTAAATATTTATAGAAAGGGGTTGTAAGGGGAAATAAAAGCGAGGGTCTTGGGGAAAAGGCTGGGGTGGGGTTTAAAAATAAAAAATCAACCCCCAAAGTGGGAGTTGTCCAAAAGCTTTTCTTTGCTGTGACCTGTGTCTTGGGAGATTCTGGGAAAAGAAGTTTTTCAGAGATTTGGGGGATGAATTTTTGGGGTTTGGGTGTGCCCAAAAAAAGAAAATTTTAAAAGGGGGAATACAGGAAAAAAGAAAGGGGTTTTGAGGATAACCAAAAAAGGGTTAGGGAAAGAAAAATTGAAAATCAGATTTTGGGGGGAGGGTATGGAGGGGTGAACATTTTTCAGATATTTGGGAGTGGACGTGTTTAGCGGATGGGGGCTATGGGAAAAATGAGGTGAATATGAAATTTAGAGGGAAAAAGTGGAAATGGGTTTCACTTAGGAGTCCCGTGGAAGGGCAAAAAACTTTTTCCTTTGGGGGCAAAGAGGGGAATGTATGAGGTATAGTTTTACCAACGCTTTTTATGGGTGTGAAGCGGGGGGTGATGAATGTTGCAGCGAGGAGAAGGGCTGGAGGAGTGGAGATGTCATGGCCCAGGGCAATGTTGGGTGTGAAATAATGCCCGAGAATTTTGTTTGTTTGGGGAAATTAGGAGGAGGTGCGGGTTCCCCAAAAAGTTTGTCCAGGGGGGCAGAGGAAGGGTTGTTGAGGTGGGGTTTGGACATGTAGAGAGAATGGAGCGAAACCCGAAGACTTCCAAAAAGGGGGATCCGTCTGTGTGGAAGGAAGGCGGGGTTGGGGTTTGGCCCCAGGAAAGGGTTGGAGGGGGGGGGTTTAAAAAAGGGTTTTTTGTGCGAGGGGCTGGACTTTCCCGAGGCATGCTGGGGCGTGTTTGATAGGAAATGGGGAAAGGGGGACAAATGGTTTTTAATACTTGACGTGCTGTTGGAGTGTGACAAAGTAAATTTATGGGGTTTTAGGGAAAAAACCGGGGGGCCCGGGCTTTAGTCCTGGGATGGGGGGACAGTGCCTTTCACCTGAAGGAGGGGTTTTTAATGTTTCAGTTTAAAAATGTAGTGTAAAGCACCCTTCTGGCAAAACAGGGTGGAGTGAAAGATGGTGAAAGTTTTTTTTTTTGGGCCCCCTGCCTTGGGGGAAACGGGCCGGGGGTGATAAAAAAATAATATATATATATATATATATATATTATATATTATTATATATTTTATTTATTATATATGCTGCTTTACATGTATTGCCAAAGTGACCCAAGGTAAGGAAAAAGTAGCAAGACTATCTGAAAAACTTGCATGTCTATTTAAAAAAAAGATTTCCAGAAAACCTAACTCATGGGGAAAACAATTACGGGTTTCCCTTTTACACTCACTTGGCAGGCGGTAGTAAACCCCCCTGGGGGGGGTTGCTGTTACCAACCCACTACCCATTATTTTTTTCTTTTTTTCAAACATCGGGGTTTTCCCCGAGGCGGGGGTTTGGGCCCAAAAAAGGAAAAAAACGAAAGTTTCTCCCTTTTTCATTTTTGTAATATATACAGGAGAAAAAGGTTTAATAGCCCTTTTCTCCCCGCATTTTAGCGCCCTTACAACACGCATGGCTTTTCGGAGGAAGGGAATTTCTGTTCCTTTTTCCCCTGGGGATAAAAAGGAAAAAACCCAAAAATAAGAAAATAGAAAGAAAAATAGAAGAAAAAACCCCGAGGGTTTTGTTAAATTTTTGTTGTAAAATGGGTTTTTTGTTTTTAGTGTGGACCCTAATTTAAGTAGAAGTGGGAAGACGGGACCTGGGAAAACTTGGATGGTTTAAAGAGACAGAAAAAAAAACAAACCCGCAATCCCACCCTCATGTAAAAACAAATTAAAGGGTTTCGTTTTACCTCACTTGGGGAGGACGGGATACCCCCTGGGTGGTTGCTTTTACCCAAACCCACTACCTTTTTATAATAATATTATTACATTTTATTCTTTTCCCCCCCCCCCTCCCCCTCCTCCTTAACAATGTACTTATCTTTGACCTCCCCCCCCCCCCCTCCCTCTCTCTCTCTTCTCTCCCTTCTCTTCTCTCTCTCTTCTCCTCCCCTCTCTCTCTCTCCTTTTTTCTCTCTCTCTCTTTCCCCTTTTTTCTTCTCTCTCTCTCCTTCTCTCTCTCTCTCCTTCTCTCTCTCTCTCTCCTCTCTCTCTCTCTCCTTCCTCTCTCTCTCCTTCTCTCTCTCTCTCCTTCTCTCTCTCTCTCTCCTCTCCTCTCTCTCCTTCTCTCTCTCTCTCTCTCCTTCTCTCTCTCTCTCTCTCTCTCTCTTCTCTCTCTTCTCTTTCTTCTCTCTCCTTCATCCTCTCCTTCTCCTCTCTCTCTCCTTCCTTTCTCTCTCTCTCTCTCTTTCTCCTCTCTCTCTCTCTCTCTTCTCCTCCTCTCTCTCTCTCTCCTTCTCTCTCTCTCTCTCTCCTTCTCTTCTCCTCTCTCTCTCTCCTTCTTCTCTCTCTCTCTCTCTCTCCTTCTCCTTCTCTCTCTCTCCTTCTCCTTCATCTCTCTCCTCCTTCTCTCTCTCCTTCCTCCTTCTCTCTCTCCTTCTCTCTCTCCTTCTCCTTCTCTCTCTCCTTCTCCTTCTCTCTCCTTCTCTCTCTCCTCCTTCTCTCTCTCCTTCTTCTCTCTCTCCTTCTCTCTCTCTCTCTCCTTCTCTCTCTCTCCTTCTCTCTCTCTCTCTCTCCTTCTCCTTCTCTCTCTCTCTCTCTCCTTCTCCTTCTCTCTCTCTCTCTCCTTCTCCTTCTCTCTCTCTCTCTCTCCTTCTTCTCTCTCTCCTTCTCCTCTCTCTCTCCTTCTCTCTCTCCTTCTCCTTCTCTCTCTCCTTCTCTCTCTCCTTCTCCTTCTCTCTCTCCTTCTCCTTCTCTCTCTCCTTCTCTCTCTCTCTCCTTCTCCTTCTCTCTCTCTTCTCCTTCTCTCTCTCCTTCTCCTTCTCTCCTCTCTCCTTCTCTCTCTCTTCTCTCTCTCTCTCTCTCTCTCTCTCTCTCTCTCCTCTCTCTCTCCTTCTCTCTCTCTCCTCTTCTCTCTCACTCTCTCCTTCTCTCTCTCTCACTCTCTCCTTCTCTCTCTCTTTCACTCTCTCCTTCTCTCTGTCCCTCTCTCCTTCTCTCTCTCTCTCTCTCTGAAATAAAGCCAACCAGTCTACTTGTTAGCATATTTCTTCAAAACAGACAAGTAAGTTTATAATGAAAATAATACATCTAGAACTTACAGCAACTGCCATGCATAAAACTGGTGCAGGATAGTCAATTGTGTGAACAAGAGAATAAGTTTCAACATCATAGATCTTAACATGACGGTCAAGAGAGCCAGACATAAGTCTCTTCTTATCACTGGCAAAGGAGAGGCAGGTGACTGTCTTGTGGTGCTGTGACAATTGGGATAATAATCGACCTGCTATGGCATCCCATACCTTGACTTCACAACCACCTGTTTCAAAGACAAATAATAAGTGTAAAATTATTACATAAAGTACAGTTAGTCATTAAAATCCCTAGCATGAGTACTGTCTGTGAGTTACATTGACGAATGTTTAAGCAGTGACAGGTAACTCAATTCACATCTTCATTCAAAATCAGCTCGGTTTGCAAATTCTTAGTTAAATTATAATCTCATATAACTCGGATGACTGTATGCGCTTTTTAATCCTAATAATTAACCCTTTGAGGGTCCAGAGGTTAAATCTCAGAGTGATAGCCAGAGTCCAAGAATTAAAAAAAAAAACAAAAAAAAAATTCTTATGAAATTGTAGAATCTTTTTCTGAAGGTAATAAAACAAAAAGTACAAAATTTAATGGAATATTGATGAAATTACACTCTCGCGAGTTTTGCTGCATCAGCGATATTTATGCATTGGTGATTTTGCCAACTTTGACTCCCATTTTAGGCCAATGACATTATTCCAGTCTACTTCTATTTATCGACTGAGCACAAGAAATCGCCCAGTCAATTGTTTCAACTACCCAATAGTGATCGGAAATTAGTAATTTGGCCAATTTAACACAAAGTTCAAAATATTCCAATTTCAAAATAGGGTCCAGAATAAACAATGCAGGCATTCCTGGCACTAAACTAACATTTCGTTTGTTTATTAGTTATGTTTTCAGGCTTTACAAATGAATTCTGTTTTGATTTTTTATTTACATAATGAATTTTTATTTATACCAAAAAATAGAAGATTTATTGTTATGCAATATTGTAATAATTGTATAAATAATATCAGCACATTCATGAACGTATATTAGACCCACACATGACATCATTTGTTTACTCTTGACCATCGGCATAAATTGAACATTTCTACTACTTTGAGCTCAGTTTCAAGCCATTTTCAGTACTAAAACCAATCAAAATCATCTCAATTTCTGTAGAATATCTTCCATTCTATCAAATTAGACCAAGAAACAGCAAATACAACTCTGAAAAACATACAAGAAAGCACTGCAAAGTCGCTGTTTTAATCCAAAAATACAGTCGGATTTTTTTTTTTCATTATGCACTGTGTGCTGCAGGATTTGTTTTATGTGGTACACACTTACCAAATTTACCGCTCACAGTGTATCTGAGTGAGCTGAGCTCGTGGTGTAGAACTACGGCTTGGATCCTGGCTTCAAAGCTGTAGAACTACGGGACGGACCCTCAAAGGGTTAAGTGTGCTTATATAATAGTCATAATGTCTGACAGTGAACAAGGTTGTAAATAGTGGAAAAAGCTATAAAATACAAATAACCAGATAAAGACATTGTACAGTATTACAAAATGTGTATGAACCAATAAACATAGTAAATAAAAGACACTTTATATTCCAAGTGAAGCAATGCTGGGCTAAGTATTTCCTCATCTTTGAAGTACCAAAATACCTTCAAACACTACTAATATGATAAGAAACAAAGGTATATAGTGTTCAACTATAAATACAATAAATAATTTACAAACGATCATAATTTGTATCAATAAATTGTAAAATGAAAACATCGCTGGTGCATTTACCCTGCTGTTGCCAAGTGATTATTTTTTCAACTTCAAAAGCACCATAAAATTGTAAGTTTTTATGAAATTCCACTCATTTTAGGTTTTATCTGATTCATAAAAATACAATCTTTCAATCTGAAAGGAAAAAAATTCAGTATCCTGCTCTGCACACAAAGGAATTTTTTTTTCGAGTATGCCACAGCTAAGGGGTTAAATATGAAAAGAAAGTATACCTGCTGAAACAAAAACTCCGCCTGATGGAAAACATACAAGGCTCTCAACTGGAGCCCCATGGTCGACAGTGAGGACGCTGCTTGCTGTACGTGTGTCCCACAACTTAACTGTGTGGTCATATGAACCACTGAGAAGGATGTTTTCCGATGCTGGACTTGCCATTCCAGCCCGAATAAAATCCTGAAAAAAAAAAAAATGTAAACATTTCTATCACACATTTTTTTCTTTGGCTACCCTCACTTCCCCCAGGAATGTGTTCATCCTCTCTGCTGCTACAACACTCTTTAATAAATAAAAATGTATAACTGATAAATATTGTTTTCCATTCCTGAGCTTTTCCCCTTACTCTCACTTCTCTATCTACTCCTCTCATTACCCATCTACTTCCTCTTATATCTATGCTTGTTAAGGGCAGTCTTCATATCTTTTACACCCTTGTTCCTCATGCAATCAAGTGGCAATAGCTGTATTTTTATCTCTGTAAAACCAGCACATAGAATATACTGACCATAGTTTTAAATAATTTTTCAGAATCTTTGAATATTGCTTTAACAGGAAGTTGAGACAAGTCAATCTACTACATAAATTTTTATACTGTAATACAAGTACAGGCAGGCCCTGCTTTACAGCACTTCGTCATACAGCATTTCACTAATACAGCAGTTTTTATTTATAGCCTTTCTCCATTTATTCAGACTTCCTACAATAAATACATTCACCACTCACTATAAGCTAAGAACAAAAATATTTCAAGGTAAGAAATGTGTGTACTGTACAGTGGACCCCGGATTTCATAGTCGTCGGATTTCGTAATATTCGGAAATATGTAGTAACGTTTTTTTTGTCAAAATGTCGGCTCGGTGATTGTCAGTGAGCTCGGAAATACCCCTACCATCTGACTTACAACCTGCTCGACTTACGACCATGTTTTTTATGCCAAATTTTTGGGAAATAAACAACTGTTTGCATTGTACACAGTGTTTATCCTAAACCTTACAGTATAAAATACAGTACTAACAGCATAAAAAGTAAAGTAAAAACTGAAATACCAAAATAAAACAATAAAATCAAATCATTACAAAAGTGTGGTGTTGATATTCAGTAGTATGGTGTGACTTACGTCCATTTTGACTTATGAGCGGTTGGTCGGAACCAAGTTTGGTTTTAAGTCGGATGGCACCTGTAGTAATTCGTCCCGAACGTGTCTGCGTGGCCCGAGCGGCCCAACACACCAATTACAGTCAGTGTGCCATTGTTTATCAGCCAGTGAACAAGATCACACACATTCATACAATACTTTTTGTATTATTCCATTCTTTTTAGTGCTTGTAACTGCTAAATAAGCCATCATGGACCCAGAGAAAGCTTCTAGTGCCAGCCCTTTGGTAAAGAAGGTGAGAAACACTAGAATTCAAGAAAGCCATCATTGCAAAAGTGGAATACGTGTGGCAGAGCTTGCCAGGTCGTATAACAAACCCCATACAACCATTGCTTCTATCGTGGCCAAGAAAAAGGAAATCAAGGAAGCTGTTGTTGTGAAAGGTGCAAATATACTTAAAAAACAGAGATCGCAAATACTGGAAGATGTGGAGGCTTTGTTGTTGGTGTGGACCAACAAGAAACAATTATCTGGAGATAGTGTTATGCAGATGATAATTTGTGAAAAGGCAAGGCAGTTGCATGCCGATCTCATAAAGAAAATGCCTGGAACTAGTGCTGATGTTAGTGAATTTAAGGCCAGCAAAGGCTGGTTTGAGAGATTTAAGAATCATAGTGGCATACACAGTGTGGTAAGGCATGGTGATGCTGCAAGTTCTGACAAATATGCAGCTGAAAAATATGTTCAGGAATTCAAGGGGTACAATAGAGGCTGAACAATTCAAACCCCAACAAGTGTTCAATTGTGATGAAAGAGGCCCTTTTTGGAAGAAAATGCCAAAGAGGACCTACATCACACAGGAGGAAAAGGCACTCCCAGGACATAAGCCTATAAAAGACAGGCTAACTCTCATGTTCTGTAGTAATGCTACTGGGGATTTCAAAGTGAAGCCTTTACTGGTGGATCACTCTGAAAATTCCAGAGTGTTCAAAAAAAAACAGTGTCACCAAGAGTAAATTGTGTGTGATGTGGAAGGCAAACAGTAAGGCATGGGTCATGAGGGACATTTTCCTTGATTGGCTCAATGAAGTGTTTGACCCCAGTGTGAAGAAATACCTCCTGGAAAATAAATTGGAACTCAAGTGCCTCCTGGTAATGGACAATGCACCTGCTCATCCTCCAGATTGGAAGAGCAAATGGTGAAGGAGTTTTGCTTCATCACAGTGAAGTTCTTGCCCCCTAATACCAATCTCTCCTCCAGCCCATGGACCAGCAGATCATTTCAAACTTCAAAAAACTCTACACCACAGCAATGTTTCAAAGGTGCTTTGATGTGACCTCAGACACTCACTTGACCCTAAGAGAGTTTTGGAAAGATCACTTCAGTATCCTCCACTGCATAAACCTTATAGGTAAGGCTTGGGAGGGAGTGACTTCCAGGACTTTGAACTCTGCTTGGAGAAAACTGTGGCCAGGATGTGTCCAAGAGAGGGATTTTGAAGGGTTTGGGGCTGACCCTGATGAGCCTATGGCAGTTGTGGAAAGTATTGTGGCACTGGGGACTTCCATGGGGTTGGATGTGAGTGGCGAGATGTGGAAGAGTTGGTGGAGGACCACAATGAGGAGCTAACCAATGAAGAGCTGCAAGGCCGTCATCTGCAACAGCAACAGACCACAACTCAGGAAATTGCTTCAGAGGAGAAAGAGGGATGGAGGAAGGTGCCTTCTTCAAAGAAGAGGACATTTGTGCAAAGTGGAGTGAGGTGCAAACATTTATGAATGAACATCACCCTGACAAACTGTTGCAGGCTGTGTTGGCAACATTTACAATGACAATGTCGTGCCCCATTTTTAGGGAAATTTTAAAGAAACGTCAGATACAGACCTCCCTGGAACACTTTTTTGAGCGACAGGGGTCCAGTGACTCTCAAGCTGGTCCTAATGGCATTAAAAAACAAAGATGGGGAGTAACCCCGGAAAAGGACTTGGTACCTAAAGTCATTATGAGGGGGATTCCCCTTCCAAACATTAGTACACCTCCATCCTCTTCCCTCCTCCCGTTTCATCACTCATCAACAAGTCTTCAATAAAGGTAAATATCAATTTATTGTTTTATTCTGCATGTCTCATTGTTTTCTGTGCAGGTAAATGTATATTTCATGTAAAATAATTATTTATTTTTAATACTTTTGGGTGTCTGGAATTGGATTTACATTATTTCTTATAGGGAAAATGAATTCGGAAATCGTCAGATTCGGGTTTAGTCACTTTCTCTGGAACGGATTAATTATGATAACCAGGGGATATTATGCTTTTTGTATATTTATCTCTCTAACTGTTGATTTGTAAACACTCGCGAATAAACAGTTTAAGTGCGCAGTGTGCGAAGTCTTATGATATGGAAGCCTTTTCCTTTGGAATTTTTATCTTTTTTGGTACAACTGCCTCGATAAGGAAGACGGCGACATTGAAATGAAACAAAAATAAAAAAAAAAAAAACCAGGTTTATTCCATTTACTTGATATAATGCAACTTTTTAGGTAGCTATAATCTCCCTAATACTTATAACTGAACATGCTTCAGCTGTTATATCACTAAGATACAGGACCGAACCCGCTCCTTTTAAGAGGCCCTCCGATACAGAATATCATGATATTTGCAATCAGAATGATGAAAATGAAGATATATGGGTTACATAAGAAATGCTATCCTCTTAAATCTAATTAATAAATTTTAGTTAATTGTACTGAATATACAATGAAAAATGTCGTTGGTGGGCCACTCTGCCCTCCTTTCTAACGACTGTCCTGCCTTTTTTCTCCTCAAGTAAATATAAGTTTTCAAGAATTGGGAAACTTTCATTTATCTTCAAATTTAAAAAATCCAGGATACTGAAAAATATTCATCTAAAATTTTAAAGATCAGGAAATGCATAACTATTCAATTAGAATATTTTATTATGATATATCGTACGTCCAAGGAAGTGTTATCTGCATTTGAACCAAGTCCATCAAAGGCAGGTTTGATCAAGAAGGTAACAATCTGAGGCAATTGGATGAATCAACACAGTGGACTGTAAAACATAAGAGGTATATGAGTGAAAAAACAACAAAATTTCAAAGTAAATAAAAATGCTAAAAGAACAAAGAACAAGACAGAATACTGTATAACATAAATACTTCAGAGCATTCACAGGACCAACAAGGATAAGCTTTTTACCAGAGATGAACCTAGAAGAGAACATAGAGGGAAAATGAGCACCAAAATGAGCTACAGGAATAAATACATTCATACATAGGCACATACGTATATATATTTTTTTTAACTCAAAGGCTGTCTCCCACCATGACAGAGTGACCCCAAGAAGGAAACACATTCACCAACATTCACTAAATCACCATCTTTCCAGCTGTGGTGTATAAGCAGGACTCGAGTTCTGCTCCCGCACCAAGAGTACATCCATGTGTGAATTCACTTATGTGTGGCAACCCCATTTCTACCAGAAACCCTCTAAATGCAGAATAAATTGCCTATCATGCGATCACTTATGTCCAGGGCTTTTTTAACAATATCTCCTTAAATATCACTATAAACTAATATATACTGACTTTCATAAATATGAAAGGAAGACAGATTTGGTAATAGTAAATCTAGTAAGCTTATAATGGATTCATTTCAGGCAAATTCACTTAATGTGCCAAAGACCTGAAATGCATTTTTTGTATAAGGCAAGGGAGACCTGTATCTCAACATAATCACTCTCTCTATACTACAGTGGACCCCCGGTTAACGATATTTTTTCAATCCAGAAGTATGTTCAGGTGCTAGTACTGACCGAATTTGTTCCATAGTGACATATTTAATAATATCCATTTCAGACCAAACATACTACAAACACTTTCCACCAAATACCTTGCAATTGTCGTTCGAGTATCGTTTCGGGTCCTGTATTCTCCAATACTGCTCCATTTCAATGCCTTAATTTGTCTGTCAAAAACGAATTTTTCCTGATGCACATTTCAAACCTCCTTTAAACATACTCAAAACTTGTCACATATCTTGCATTTATTAATCTCCCATATAACTGCTCTTAAATAATCATAAAAATCAACTCTGCATGCCATCAACCCTTAAAAGTATTTGAAGGAACATATCTGTTTAAAAAATAAACTTACCCCTCATGTCCTTTAAATAATCTAAGAAGCTGCTTTTGTTTGTAATTAAAAAGTTTAACCTGGCCATCTTCTGAACCAGCCAAGAGTAGTTGGCCATCTTGTTTAAACTTTCCACCATATGCTAAACGCTGAAATCTAGTAATAGTTCGCCACACTTGTGTTGCTTGCCTGTGGTAAACGTCAATCTGAGAAAAGAATTAAGTCCATATCTCATACAGTATTCACAAAGGCTGCAAACATTTTCAAGTTCAATAGCACAGGTATTTTTGCTTAATTTGAAAATGAACAAAATAAAGGTTCAGAAAGGAGAGCACTGGTGAATTCAATTGCCATTCAAAATATAGGTACAGTACAGCATTCCTTGCAAGGAATAACAAGGAAAATAGAAACATGATACATAGATGAAGGAGACATTTTATATACCTTGGAAATTATCTTTAATTGCAAGAGGTAATTAGTGCATAAACTTTAAAATAGCAAAATCTTTCCAAACTAAATAGTTTCCTAAGTGTATCTGGACAAGTACAAAGGTTTCAGGAACAGACCAATAATCAAAGTGGTCTGTAGGAACCACAATTATAATGCTGTGAAACATCTACTTCAATTAATACTGACTGTGCAGTGTATCATACCCAAGTTGTTACAGGTTTTGAGTAACAACTTATGAAATTAGGAAATACAGTTAACTTCCCTCATGTATAAATTACTATTAATCTTTATTACAAGGTATTAGCACAGTGTATTAGCACTGTCATGAATTTTTTTAATAATCATGAATAGTTCAAATACTAGCTATATAAAATCCAAAGATTCATAATCTCCACACAGCATAACTAAGTTTGAAATAAATGAATGAAAAGAATAAGTGTGCCTAATTTAACATATCTATTCAGGACTGAGCAAGAGTAACTAATAAGCAGACAGTAAAAAAAAAAGTCAGTGGCTATGTAGTTTGTAACTGTTAATCTGAAACAAAGCAAACACTCTCCATACTATTAGTGCATGAGAATTTTGAGAAAAAATTAAGCTCTTCTAACATCTGCAGAATAATTATGAATTTATTCACTTGCAAACTGTAAATATTCACTAGTCTGATGTCCTCTGAAATTTCAATAGGACTGAAGTGAAAGATCTGTGAAAGTTCTCCATTAAGCACAGTGCAACCTCTACTTGCGAGTTTAATCCGTTCCGTGACCTTGCTTGCAACTGGATTTGCTCATTTACAGAGTCAATTTTCCTGATTTAAATTAACTGAAATGCAATTAATCTGTTCCAGTGGAATTCTGTATTACAATAATTTCCCTAATATCAACTCTATGGCTTAATTATCTATCAAAATTCATCTAATATGACATAAACAATATAACATAGAAACCTGATATATAGTACTCTAGAATGAATAAAATATGTCATTATGTAACAGGTGGAGGCAGCCACAACCACTCCCTCTGCCATCTAGTGATGGCCTTTTGAAGCTGTCTATTATTATAATTATTGTCATGTAGTACATTATTATTATATATATATTATTATACATATTATATTATTATTAAATTATATTATACTATTATTATTATTATATGTATTACTAATATTATACATATTATTATTATTATTATTATTATTATTATTATTATTATTATTTATTACAATATACAGTGGACCCTCAACCAGCGATGGCATCGATTAACGATAAATCTGACTAGCGATACATTTTAACGCAAAAATTTTGCCTCGACTAGCGCTTAAAAACCCGACCAGCGCTATTCGTTCCGTACGAGACGCATCCACTTTGGCCTGAGCGCGCCTCACTTGTCCTGTGGGTGCCAGTGTTTACAAGCCAGCCACCGCGGTCGCTTCCAAACATACAACTGGAACATTTCATATTATCACAGCCTTTGTAGTGATTGCACCTGCAAAATAAGTCACCATGGGCCCCAAGAAAGCTTCTAGTGCCAACCCTACAGCAAAAAGGGTGAGAATTACTATGGAGATGAAGAAAGAGATCATTGCTAAGTATGAAAAGTGGAGTGCATGTCTCTGAGCTGGTCAGGTTGTATAATAAACCCCAATCAACCATCACTACTATTGTGGGCAAGAAAATGGCAATCAAGGAAGCTGTTCTTGCCAAAGGTGCAACTCTGTTTTCGAAACTGAGATCGCAAGCGGTAGAAGATGTTGAGATACTCTTATTGGTGTGGATAAACGAGAAACAGATAGCAGGAGATAGCATCTCTCAAGCGATCATATGTGAAAAGGCTAGGAAGTTGCATGACGATTTAATTAAAAAAATGCCAGCAACTAGTGATGTGAGTGAATTTAAGGCCAGCAAAGGTTGGTTTGAGAGATTTAAGAAGCGTAGTGGCATTCATAGTGTGATAAGGCATGGTGAGGCTGCCAGTTCGGACCACAAAGCGGCTGAAAAATATGTGTAGGAATTCAAGGAGTACATAGATAGTGAAGGACTGAAACCTGAACAAGTGTTTAATTGTGACGAAACAGGCCTGTTTGGAAGAAAATGCCAAGCAGGACGTACATTACTCAGGAGGAAAAGGCACTCCCAGGACATAAGCCTATGAAAGACAGGCTTACTCTGTTGATGTGTGCCAATGCTAGTGGTAGTTGCAAAGTGAAGCCTTTATTGGTGTATCACTCTGAAACTCCCAGAGTGTTCAGGAAAAACAATGTCGTCAAGGCTAATTTGTGTGTGCTGTGGAGGGCAAACAGTAAGGCATGGGTCACTAGGGACTTTTTCTATGACTGGTTACACCATGCATTTGCCCCCAATGTGAAAAATTACCTAATTGAAAAGAAATTAGACCTTAAGTGCCTCCTGGTATTAGACAATGCTCCTGGTCATCCTTCAGACTTGGCAGAGCGACTTTCTAGGGACATGAGCTTCATTAAGGTGAAGTTTTTGCCTCCTAATACCACTCCTCTCCTGCAGCCCATGGACCAGCAGGTCATTTCCAACTTCAAGAAACTGTACACAAAAGCTATGCTTGAAAGGTGCTTTGTAGTGACCTCAGAAACTCAACTGACTCTAAGAGAGTTTTGGAAAGATCATTTTACCATCCTCAATTGTGTAAACATTATAGGTAAGGCTTGGGAGGAAGTGACTAAGAGGACCTTGAACTCTGCTTGGAAAAAACTGTGGCCAGAATGTGTAGACAAAAGGGATTTTGAAGGGTTTGAGGCTAACCCTGAGAATCCTATGCCAGTTGAGGAATCCATTGTGGCACTGGGGAAGTCCTTGGGGTTGGAGGTTAGTGGGAAGGATGTGGAAGAGCTGGTGGAGGAGGACAATGAAGAACTAACCACTGATGAGCTGCTAGATCATCTTGAACAGCAAGAGGGCAGACCTGAGGAAACTGCTTCGGAGGAGGGGAGAGAGAAATTGAAGAAGTTGCCTACTTCTAAGATTAAGGAAATGTGTGCAAAGTGGCTTGAAGTGCAAACCTTTTTTAATGAAAATCACCCTGACACAGCTACTGCAAGCCATGTTGGCAACCTGTACACTAACAATGTTGTGAGCCACTTTAGGAAAGTCATAAAGGAACGAGAGGTACAGGTATCTATGGACAGATATGTTGTGCGACAGAAGTCCAGTGACTTTGAAGCTGGTCCTAGTGGCATTAAAAGAACAAGGGAAGTAACCCCAGAAAAAGACTTGCTACCTCAAGTGCTAATGGAAGGGGATTCCCCTTCTAAACACTAAGAAGATCAATGGTCTCTCCTTCTCCCATCCCATCAATCATCACCAGATCTTCAATAAAGGTAAGTGTCATGTAACTGTGCATGTCTTCTTCAGTTTGTGTGTATTAAAATTAATATTTCATGTGGTAAAATTTTTTTTTTTTCAAAACTTTGGGGTGTCTTGCACGGATTAATTTGATTTCCATTATTTCTTATGGGGAAAATTAACTTGACTAACGATCATTTTGATTAACAATGAGCTCTCAGGAACGGATTAATATCGCTGGTTGAGGGTCCACTGTATGTACTGTAATTTGTAATTTTTATTCACACAAAAAATAGAAGATTTACTGTTATGCAGACTACTGCATTATTGTAATGATTGTATAAATAATGTCAACCCATTCATGACTGCATACTGAAATAGACAGTGACATCATTTGTTTACTCTTGAACATAGCCAAGGAATCGAACATTTCTCCTACAGTGAGCTCAATTTCAAGGTACTTTTCGTTGTGAAAGCAATCAAAATCATATCTATTTCTGTAATATATCTTCCATTCTATCAAATGAGGCCAAAAAAAAAACGAGAATACAACCATAAAAACCATACGAATATACAGCTAAGGGGTGCCTAATTGCTGAGAAGTGAACTCCATTATTTATGCTCTGATTTCTTTCACTTTTGGTGCACGTTAAGAAGCATCTTTCCATCAAACATTGCCCAAGTTTCAATAAGATAGTCCAACAAACAAATAAGATCCTATTCCCTAGATCAAGAGCAAGAGCCCCTCACCAGCATCAAGGAACCTCCCTTGAGGTCTGCTTGCTTATGGGATTTTCGCTTGCATATGGAAGCAAAAAATCGACCCATCGACTGCTCGTATTTGGAAAAACTCACACATGGATGCGCTCGCAAGTAGGGAATCCACTGTACTATAAAACAGATTTCTACCATGTTATCTCCTCACCTTTGGGCCAGATGTAACAGCAATATAGTAAGGGTCCACAGGGCTCACGTCCACATAATCAATGGCTGTAAATTCCTTTACTGTCACTGGAAACTGATATTATGAATAAGTTTTAATACAACAAAATGTCCTACATAAATTATGCATAAAAGACAAAACAAAATTGAGGTTATTCAAAATTATTTACATCTCATTACTTCAAAACAAAAATACACAAAAATTACGATGCTGGGTATTTTAATTCTACTGAAAGTTGTCATATTTTATAGTTATAAAAATTATTTGTGCTTCTTTAACCGTGTGATGCCAAAATTGTAAACTGAACACTGAGCGATACAAATTTATAAAACTAGGAGGCAATACCTTCATGCCCTATATTCATAGGGCATACAATGTGCATATCTGACACCTAGAAGTGCAAGATTAATTACAAGTAAGTAAATATTAAACCCATGGGAATCATGCAACACACAGGAAATGGGAGGCAGTCATGTCTGATGTTTGATGCTAATAAGGAGAGAGGTAACTCCAATTCCTTCAATCAAGAGCCAATCACCAACATCAAGGCTTCCCTCCCCCCTCCCCTTTAAGATAATATTTAGTTCAGATTATTAACCAGGAGGGTTAGCCACCCAGGATAACCCAAAAAGCCAGTGTATCATCAGGGACTGTCTGTCTTATTTCTATTGAGGGTCCTTTAATCTTCTTCCCCAGGACACAACCCACAACAGTCGACTAACACCCAGGTACCTACTTATTGCTAGATAAAAAGGGATAGGAGACATAAGGAAACATGCCCAACATTGCCCCTATACCAGAAAGATATTCCTGGTCCCTCAGCTGAGGATGCTACCAACCAAGTCACGAGCACCCACAGCCAAGTAAGTCACTTTGGAAACAAGTCACTTAGACTTTTATGGGGTTATCCTAGGTAAGTTACACATCTGTTACTATCAAATGAAAGATAATTATCATCAGACAAAACTTGTGTAAATGTATCTAGATAAGCTTACTAACCATGAGTACCCATAGCCAAGCCACAAGCAAAAAACAACCAAGCCACGAGCACCCACAACAAAGCCACAACCACCCACAATCCAAGACATGAGCACACAACCCAAGACACATGCACCCACAACCAAGTCACAAGAACCCATAACCATGCCATGAGCACCCACAATCAAGCTGCGAGCACCCACAACCCAAGTCTCAAGCACCCACAACCCAAGTCACAAGCACCCACAACCCAATTCTCAAGCACCCACAACCCAATTCTCAAGCACCCACAACCCAATTCTCAAGCACCCACAACCCAAGTCACAAGCACCCACAACCCAATCATAGCACCCACAACCAAGTCACAAGCACCCACAACCCAAGTCTCAAGCACCCACAACCCAAGTCCAAGCACCCACAACCCAAGTCACAAGCACCCACAACCCAATTCTCAAGCACCCACAACCTAAGTCACAAGCACCCACAACCCAATTCTCAAGTACCCACAACCTAAGTCACAAGCACCCACAACCCAAGTCCAAGACCCACAACCCAAGTCACAAGCACCCACAACCCAAGTCACAAGCACCCACAACCCAAGTCACAAGCACCCACAACCCAAGTCACAAGCACCCACAACCCAAGTCACAAGCACCCACAACCCAATTCTCAAGCACCCACAACCCAAGTCACAAGCACCCACAACCCAATCTCAAGTACCCACAACCAAGTCACAAGCACCCACAACCCAATTCTCAAGCACCCACAACCTAAGTCACAAGCACCCACAACCCAAGTCACAAGCACCCACAACCCAAGTCACAAGCACCCACAACCCAAGTCACAAGCACCCACAACCCAAGTCACAAGCACCCACAACCCAAGTCACAAGCACCCACAACCCAAGTCACAAGCACCCACAACCCAAGTCACAAGCACCCACAACCCAAGTCACGAGGGTTCTCTAATATTAACCAAGATTATCAGTTTGCGTATATATAAATTATTCTATAACATAAACTCTTTACACACTTCTAATTTCTTCCAGTAGGCTATATCTGGGGTAGCCTTGGTGCTAGATTTTTGGTATGCTCGTGTGAGTGTCTTCTTGAAGGAAGCCATTGTTATTGTTGAGGTAAGAGCCTACTGGTTCAAAATATTCATCACTTACAAAAAAAAAAAAAACCTCCTGCATACTCAATATTCTCAAAATACTCACACAGTTAAAACGTCCATAGGTCATTAACATTAATGTGTTATAACAATGACCCCGTAGGAGTAATATAGTACCCGGTGAATGAAAGACAATTTGGTTTAAGCCAAGGAAATTTAAATTAAAATTAATTATTTAAAAAAAAGCTATACAAGTAAAGAGGCATAATCCCTCTAAGTGGATTGTTATTATTATAATCAAAAAGAAGCGCTAAACCACAAGGGCTATACAGCCCCTCTAAGTGGAGTAATAATTATAGCCTTCCTGAACCTAGCTGTTAAATAAATCCCTCAACCTTCCTTTTTATAGAAGCTAATTAGTTTTATATAGTATTTATTCTCTTCAAGGAAGTGCCTTAATACCTTTGGTGGGCTCTTCATCTAAAGAATTATAGGTAATCTTCTCTTTTTCTCGGCTCGGACCTAATTACCTCTCATTCCCCAGGCACATTTCTCCCGAGGATAAACATCAACTTAATAACTGCTGCAGAAAACGCGAGACTGACAGATTTAATGGTAGCTTTCAGGAACAGTAACAAGGAGGCATTCATGACTTCATATATGGCATATGTCAATCATATCTTGGAGTATTCAGCGCCAGTATGGAACCAGCATCTGGTAATGTTGGGTTTAAGGATTCGAAAGTGAGGTTGGTTAAGGATTAAAGAACGATAAGGATTAACGTTGCATTTTAACCGCCGAGGGTATAGCCACCTCAGTAACCCAAGAAAAGTGCGTCAATTTGTGTTCTAATTATTTACATTGGAGTCCTTAATCTTGTCCCACAGGCATGCGTACGCCAACATAAATAACACCCAGGTACCTATTTGCTGCTAGGTGAACAGACAACGTGTAAGTTAACGTGTCCAAATGACCCGCCAATCGAACCGGGCCCTCCGTGTATGAACGGGTAACTTTAGCACCACACCGGTTTAAGGCTCGTTAACGCTTTAAGGTAACTGCACTATTTAGTCAAATACTCAAAATAATGAACTTGATGTTCACTTCCTTTCAAGTACAAGGAAAATAATTTTGAGTTAGGTAATAATTTAAGCGAAAAACCGTATATTCATACAGCGCAGTGTTATAAACATAAATTAGAACACTGTGCAATACTTGGAACTTTGATAATCTTAATTAATTTAAGCCTGCCCATAATGCTGAGCAAGGGGCTGTCTTGTGTTAACATACATAATACCCTTGACAACTATTACTTGGAAGCCCGACTAACGCTTTATTCGTTTCCTGAGAGTAATCGTAGTCAGAAAATCGTTAGTCCAAGCTTATTTCCCCATAAGAAATAATGGAAATCAATTAATCCGTGCAAGACACCCAAAAGTATTGAAAAAAAAAAATTTTTAACATATGAAATATTAATTTTAATACACACAAACTGAAGAAGACATGCACAGTTACATGACACTTACCTTTATTGAAGATCTGGTGATGATTGATGGGATGGGAAGAGGGGAGTGTGTTGATGGTCTTAGTGTTTAGAAGGGGAATCCCCTTCCATTAGGACTTGAAGTGGCAAGTCCTTTTTCGGGGTTACTTCCCTTCTTTTAATGCCACTAGGACCAGCTTGAGTCACTGGACCTCTGTCGCACAACATATCTGCCCATAGAGGTCTGTACCTCCCGTTCCTTTATGACATTCCTAACGTGTTTCACAACATTGTCAGTGTCACCATTAAACACTTGTTCAGGTTTCAGTCCTTCACTGTCTATGTACTCCTTGAATTCCTGCACATATTTTTCAGCTGCTTTTTGGTCCAAACTGGCAGCCTCACCATGCCTTATCACACTATGTATGCCACTACGATTCTTAAATCTCTCAAACCAACCTTTGCTGGCCTTAAATTCACTCACATCACCACTAGTTGCTGGCATTTTTCTAATTAAATCATCATGCAACTTCCTAGCCTTTTCACATACGATCGCTTGAGAGATGCTATCTCCTGCTATCTGTTTTTCGTTTATCCATACCAATAACAGTCTCTCAACATCTTCTATCACTTGCGATCTCAGTTTCGAAAACATAGTTGCACCTTTGGCAAGAACAGCTTCCTTGATTGCCGTTTTCTTGGCCACAATAGTAGCGATGGTTGATTGGGGTTTTGTGTACAGCCTGGCCAGCTCGGAGACATGCACTCCACTTTCATACTTAGCAATGATCTCTTTCTTCATATCCATAGTAATTCTCACCCTTTTTACTGTAGGGTTGGCACTAGAAGCTTTCTTGGGGCCCATGGTGACTTATTTTGCAGGTGCAATCACTAAAAAGGCTGTGATAATATGAAATGTTCCGATTGTATGCTTGGAAGCAACCGCGGTGGCTGGCTGGCTTGTAAACACTGGCCAGAAGTGGACGCATCTCAGACAGAAGGAATAGTGTTGGTCGAGTTTTTTAGCGCTAATCGAGG